GTATACATATATATATATTTTTCAATTGTACAACTGAGTTTAACAGCTGAGCTCAGCTCAATAATAAAATCCCTCCAATTGAACGAGTATTATATAGTCGATTCCAAGCATCAACAAAATGCTAGCTTGTATTTTTATTTGTGAGTGTTTTTCATTGTTTTTTTTTTTTTTTTTTTGCTGGCATAAAACGCATGGAAGCGGAAATGATGGATTCGCTGGCACTGTAGCGCTGCAGCGCTGCCTTCCTTGCTGACTCTACACATTTTAATTAAGCAGCGCCCGGTTCTAGTGACTGCAATCGGTCCCCCCACACCCGGCCCCCACTCCCTGCCCAGTTTCGGTTAGCCGTGCCGCAAACGCAACTCATTTGAATAACTTTAGGCATAATTTGTAAGCGACTTGACTCGACTTGGGCCCCGAGAGCATTTGGCTTTGAAAATGAAGTTGCAAATGTAACGCGTTATTAACGTTCATATTACAGTTGGCTTTTGTCTTTGTTATGGGCCGAGAGAGTCGCTGCTGCCGCTGCTGCTCTCTAGCATTTAATGACTGCCACTAAATGGGCTTCATTATATCGTTTGTCTGTTTGTTTGTTCGTTTCAAATTGAAATTTAGTCATAAAAAAATGGAAATAATAAAAATAGAGTCAGCTCCAACAGATTTAACGCTACTTTTTGGCCTCCCGAAAAACAAAAGCTGAAAATATGTGGGGCAATTTGAGTAGACATGCCTAGGCCTGAGTGTCTGCATACTTTTGTACGCACTGTAATTAATTAACGTTTCGCTTTACATGCCCACATAAGCATAACTGTTATTCCTTTCCTTCTTTTTTATTGAATATTAGCTCGCGTCACACCCAAGTGTGGGCGAGGGCGAGGACGAAGGGGGAGGGGGAGTAAGGAGGGGGGCTTACTCATTAAGTGCGTTGTCAACTCGTTGCCTGCCCAAACGCCATTAGAGACATTTTGATGACAGTTTTTGCTGTTTCGAATTCAATTCCGTTGGCTGCTTTAAGAGCCTTACGTGATTTGCTGCTGTTTATACGGCGCAGCAGGACTATCACACGTGTCCGGCCGCTGCCTGCTGTTGTCCGGCTGGCATGCCAAACATTTTGTTTTTGAGCTTTCAAAGAAATTAAATTAAACGTTCTGCGTGTTATGAGCCGCCGCCGCCGCGGGTGGCTAACCCAGCCACCCATCACCCGCCCAACCACTCGCCTGGGGCGCTCTCGTTTCATAAACAGTTCATTTGTTTCCATTTAATCGCAACTTTACTTTGCTTTTCTCTACAAATATATATATATACATTTATATATTTACTTTTTATAGTACTTTGTTTTTTCTTTTGTTTTCTTTTGTCTACTCTGCGTACGACTTTTTTAATTGCCGCACATTTGGCACTGGGCGTTGTTTGGCTTACAGTTTCAGTTTTCCTTTTTTCTGTTTTGTGATTTTTTCTTTTTGGGAGGGGGCCCTGCGTAACAAAGACCCCAAAGCCAAATTGCCGCCAATCAAAAAAGTAACACCCACTGTATAAAAATTGCATAAATTATTTGAAACTCGCTGAAATTGTTTACAGTTATTTGTTGGACTCTTTGTTTTGTCTCTTCATTTTTTTTTTTTTTTATATTGTGAATTATTTTGTGTGCAGCATTTATTTTTTTTTTTTTTATTGAGTTGTAGATCGCGGATTCTTTGAGTTCTCAATTTCAGTACAATTTTTGTATTGATGCGTAATCAGTTTGACTCGTTGATTGTGAAGCTGTGGAGTTGTATAAACTGGGGATAGACTGAAGATTATAGACTGTAGACTATAGATTATAGACTGTAGATGAACGGCTGACGAGTTATAACAGCTCTTTTCATGGAATTTTCTCTCTTGCTTAGCATTTTCTCAGTATTCCAGATGCAGCTTTCACAGTTCTCTGTTTTCTTCTATTGATTCGTTAGCTGATTTAAGGTTTCATTTTGTTTTGTAGGTTTCATCTGTTATGATTAGGCTCTAGATAACTATTATGTGCTGGGCAGTTCGTAGGTTATTCATTATATATAAGCTTGTGCTTTTCATTTGCTTTATATTCTAGATAAACAAACACTGTAAATATTGCTAATAATTTGTAGTTTTATGATAGGTATATTGAAAAAGCTAAGATGAATGTGCTTTTACATTATATATAAGTTTGCATGGGGACCAGAATTTTTTTCTTAATAAACGGGGTGCATATAGCCTGATTCTACTGTACTATATACGTTAGTATATTTACCCATTTCTGCTATATATGTATATCCTCATTCTAGAGCCTGAATCCCTTCACATCTTAAGACTCTGCCATGAACCTGAAGTTTCTCAGCCTGTATCAACTTACTCTAAATATTGGGCACCTCCTTTAAACAGTCAGTCTAGTCTAGAATCACAATCTCTACTTCATTTCATTCAAATTTCTCACTCGAAACTCTTTTGTCTAACAGTCTTTGCCCTATCAACAGCTTTGGCTATTGCGGCGCACAGTAGCCCCAGTTGAGTGCGGAAAACTTTATGCATTTATTGGCTGTGATAAATCCGAATAGAGGTCGACTATATATACATATATATGTATATGTATATGCTGGCCATATTAAGCCATAAAGTGTGGCTTTTGTGGCATTGTGAGTGGTTGTTCTTGCTCTGGCTGTTCTTTTTTTTTTATTATTTTTGTGTGTTTTTTTCTTTCTTTCCTTATGTTTTGTTGCTTTTGTTCTAGCACAATTCCAATGAAGTTCGCTGTGGCTGTGCCTGTGGCTGTGGCTGCTGCTCCAAACCACTCGCCAGTTAATAAATCAAATGTGTTAATGATGTTTTTACCCAGTGTGCCCACTTTTGACAACAAAGGCAACACAAGAGCCAACAACAGCAACGACAACGATGGCGACAACTACTGAAGGCTTCGCCTGAAGTAGACGTATCCGTAATATGAGTTCCACTCTGGGCTGGCTGCGAGTATATGCTATATGGATGCTATATGGCATACACGGCGCACGCGCACAGCTTCTCATGCGCGCCCTCTCTTTCTCTCTTACTCACACACACACTCCCTCACTCAGTCTCTCTCTCTGTCTCTGTCCTTTGTTTTAGTAGAATTTCTGCTCAGATCTAGAGGATCCTTTCGCGCTCTCTCGCTCTCTTTCGCTGTGTGTGTTTTCCTTTCTTTTCCTTTCTTATTTTATTTTATTTTTATATGCCCATTAAATATTTCTTTGGGTTCTTTGTTGTTATTGTTTTGATTTCAATTTGCCTGACGCCGGGCTGCTGCTGCTTCTGCTGCTGCTGCTGCTGCCGTCTGGCTGCTCTGCTCCTTCATCTGCGCTCTGCTGTCGCTTTGACAGTTTTTCACATTTTATTTATTTTCATTTTCATTTTCGTTTTCCACACAACACGTAGCAGGTTGGGCCAGATTCTCGCTTAGCCTATGATTTAGTAGCATGTTATAACTGTTTCTCTTGTGGTCCACACACAGAGCCACAGCCAGAGCCAGAGACTGAGCCACATCCACATGGGCACAATCATCCGCAGCATTGCGTTGTAATTTCTTGGAAATTTGTGCACACTTTGGTATTTCGTTTTCGTGTGCTCTTCTTTGGGTTTTTGGTTAAGGTTGCTGCTGCTGTTGTTGCTGTTGTTGTTGTTGTCTTTTTTTTTTTACGGCCACGGGTCCGTGTGACATTGTCTGGCCATGGGCCTGAACCCGAAAACGTAGCCCAAGTGAGCGTAGCATCTGAACCTGTTTTTAGGGCCTGATTTGGCATTAAGGTCTTCGGCTATATGGATGTCCGAGTTTAAAGGTCTAACTAACTGTGGTCGCTGCTTGATTTGACATTTGGCGTCAGTGGCCATAATTGTTTAGAATTTATGTCTTGTACCTTTTCAGAGACAACAGAAATTCCCTTTAATTTGTTGGTCGCATGTGGGCAGGCCCAATGCGAAGGGTCAACTGCAGTTTTAATTAGTTGCCGTTGTTTTTTTTTTTGTTTGTTGTTGTTGTTGTTGCTGTTGTTTGTTGATATTAATAAACATTTATATTTTTTTAAGGTTACTTAGATATACATATAAATATATAGAGAGAGAGACAAAGTTTGACAGTTTTTTTAATAGACAGACAGAGCAAGATAGAAATAGAGAGAGAGAGAGAGAGAGAGATAGGTTTTTTTAGACGTTTTACTGGTGAACAAGACAAAAGACACATGTGGATGTGTGAGTAAATATTTTTTTGTTTGTTGAATTTGATATATTATTATTTTTAATTTTTTTTTTGCTTTTAATGAATTTTTTTTAACAACAAAATGAAAATCATAAAAATTTAAACAATTTATAGATATATATATATTTTTTTTTATACGAATACAAAGTAAAATGCAAGCTTAAGTAAAAAGTATGAATTATTTACATTTTTTTTGAGAGAGAGAGAGAGAGGAGGACAGAGCAAGAGAAGGGCTCGATACGACTGGGTTTTTTTGGCTGGCTGGCTGGGTAACGCCTGTGGCCATGCCACGCATGCCTCAAATAAGCAGCAAGCGCCTCATTTTAAGGCCACAGCTGTCAGGGCGCTGGACAAAGGAACAATGGACGCGTTTTTTTGAAGCTCATCCCTGCTGTTAAGCTGCGCCAGCAGATCTGGACTGGACTGGATCGTTTTTTTGGGACGGGAGGACTGGAGGGCGGGAGGGCCGCATGGGCAACGGCTGATTGAGTGTTTTTTTCGCATTGCATAGAGGCCCGGTCCATGGACACTCGCCCATACCCATATCAATTACTTAAAGCTCATTCACAACATTTTTTATTTTCACCTGACAAAAGCCCAAATGGCATCCAATCAATTTGGCCAGGCGCTGGCCAAGCATAAATCCTTGCCTCTGCATGGACATGTCTGGCTAAATGTCTTGGCCTGGAACTGAGTCTTCGGGAATGCGACTTGGTTGGCCCATTGATTTCTCAAAGTGATAGAGAGTGGGAGAGACGGGGGCAGGGGGAAAAGGGAGCACAGAGAGAAGCAACCAACACATGTTCTTGCGCCCCGAAAAAAGAAAAAACAAAACAAAACAAAAAACTTATCGCTAGCGATGCGATAAACGATAAATAAATACAAAAAGAGACAGTGGAGAGAGAGAGCGTGGATTGGGTCGAGGATCGTTGGCTAACGAACGCGCCCGCAGCCAAAGTGAGCAACAACAACAACGACAATAATGTTGCAGGCAACGTTTTTGGTTAGTAAACAGCAGGAACAACAACAACAACGACAAAACTGTCGCCTGGCCAGCGAGCAAATGAAATAATATGAAGCGCAGGCAAAACATTTTGTCAGCGCGCAGCTTCCTACATTGCATACAAGCAAAAGATACGGCGACAGCAGCAGCAGCAGCAACAGTTGCAGCTACAGATACAAAGCTGTAGATATACAACAACAACAACAACAACAACAACTGGCACAACAAAGAGCACTGGGCTACTTAGTTCGTTCACATGCCAACGTTTTGAGCTTCCTCATTTGCGTTGAGTGTTGAATTAACATAGCTCTGTTAGCTAACAGCGCACTGTTAGCTTAGACAGCTGTGGTTCTTGCTGCTGCTGCTGCTGCTTGGAGGGGTTGCAACTGCAACTGCCGCTAACGACCCTCAACCCGCAACCTCTCACGCATTGTCGAGCGGCTATAAAGTTGTCGTTGTTGTTGTTGTTGTTGTTGCTGTTGCTGGCAGCGACATGCGAAACCGGCTGAGACGGCGACTGTGAAGCAGGTGCAGCAGCAACAAACTTCCGCAGCGAATGCCAGAGCGTAAGTGTGTGTGTGTGCGTGTGTGTGTAGCAGCAGCAGCAGCAGCAACATGAAGTAATTAACAACTACAACAACAAAACTACAACAAGCTGATGACGCAGCGCAGCCCAGCTAAAGCGTTGACAATAGCATTGAAGTTTTTCGTTTTTCGTTTCTCGTTTTTTTTTTTTTTTTTTGCAACTGCTGCCAGTTAAGCTGACTGCTACAGCTGCTGCTTCGTCTTCTTCTTCTTCTTCTTCTTCTGCTTGTGCATCGTTTTCATGGTGGCGTATACGCAATGCTGTGTGAGAGAGGGCGTGGGGGAAATCTGAATTTGCCTGAATGCATACAGGAAACATGACCAAGTGGCGGGAATGTGGCCAGAGCCATGAAGCATTGTGCACAGAAGGAGCTGGAGAGGGCGGCAGCTAGATAGATGGATAGAGAGAGAGACAGAGACAGAGAGAGAGAGAGAGAGAGAGAGAGAGAGAGAGAGAGAGCGAACTCATGTCAAGTGCCACTGAAAATGTTGAAGAGTTGGTGCCAGAGCAGAGTGCAGTAAAGTGAAGAGCTTCCCACGTGTGTGCGAGCGTGTGAAACGAAAGGAAAACCAAAAGCCAACAGAAACAACAACAACAACAAAAAGAAGAAGAAACAAAACTTAAGCTAAAATCAAACTACTAAAAACTAAAACTAGAAACTAGAAGAGTAATCGATAAGTGTTTGCGCACAACACAGATCTAATTAATTGTTAATTAAGCAAATCGTTTATCGATCACAAAATTCAATCGAACAAATTAACAAAATCGATTATTCACCCACACCAAATATCTTTTGTCTTGCTTACCCGCACTTGTCCTTGGCTTTGTGCGCACGGGCTTCACATCGAGTCCGATGTTCAGGCTGCCAGAGCTGCCTGCACCACCGCCGCCGCCACCGCCACCACCGCCGCCGCTGGAGCTGCTGTGACCGCCGCTGCTCATGGCACTGCCCATGCCGCTGGCCATGCCAATGGCACCGCCAATGCCACCACTAGCACCACCAGCACCACCACCACCACCGCCAGCACCGCTGCCATGCAGGCCCGCCTGACTGTGATGGCTGTGACTGTGGTGRTGGTGATGATGCGCCGCCGCCATGCTATGCCGCACAGCGGCCGCTGCCACGGAGGAACTTTGGAACATGTTGGCGGCGGCAACCGCCGCCTGATGCTGCGCCGCCGCATGGTGGTACGAGGCATAGCTGCTGTCGTAGCTGTTGGCATTGTTGGCCGCATAGTGCGCCTGGGCGGTGCCATCGAACAGGCCGTTCGACGTCGATGCGGACACTGAGGCGGAGGCGGTTGAGGAGGAGGCATTGCTGTTGCTATTTTGCTGCTGCTGCTGCTGTTGCTGCTGTTGCTGCTGCTGTTGCTGCTGCTGCTGCGACGTCGCTTGACTGCCGCTGCTGCTGCTGCTATTTGAGCTATTCGTATTGTTCGTACCTTCACGCTGCTTGGGCGCCGAGGATTGGGCCGGTCCGGCGCTGCCCGCGTGCGCCGCAGTCGGGCCGCCGTTCTGTATGGAGGGCTTGATGTCCAGCGCACAGCTGGCGTCCGTCAGTGAGGTAGAGCCCGTGGCCTGCTGGTGCATGAACGCGTTCATCACGGCCTGCAACGGTATCAAGGCAAGCAGATTGAAGCGAACGGATCGCACGGATCGGCTGGAAAGGCAGGAATGCTTACCTGATACTCGGACTGGCCGGTTTGTACGGAGTCGGGCGTGGAGTCCTTTGGCGGTGTTGGTGGGAATGGAAACGAGTGCTGGCCGGCCGACGTTGTCTGATGGCTCTGGCCCACCTGGCCCAGTTTGTGCTCCACCTGCGGCTCCTGCGGGCACGCAAATTGACTCATGCCCCAGGCGCTGGCGGGTGGAAACGATTTGTGCTCGCTGGTCAGCCAGGGACTGAGCGGTGTATGAAAGTGCGGCCGGCACACTTGGGGCGTGGCATGTGAGGAGGGCATGCGGGATGCTAAAGGCAAAAGAAACAAGAGATGGAGAGAGAGAGAGAGAGAGAAAGAGAGATAAGAATTTAATAAAACGCGCCAAAAAATCAAGTTAAATGCAGCATTAAATCAATTATGGCCAAAATTTATAACGAAGATTAACAGCCTAAGCTGTGATGGTAGTGGAGGGGGAGTGGCAAGGGGAGGGAGGGTATGAATTCAACGTGTACAAGACGCAGACCAGAAGCGATAAAAAATTCATAATAAATGACGTTGTTCTCTTTTTTCGAGGCGGAAAAGCTGCGTTATAATTTATGAAACACCAGCAACAGTTGCTGTTGCTGCTGCAACTGCTGCCGCTGCTGCTGTCCATGGCTCGGCAAGGCTTGCGGCCTTAGCGCACAACTTTGCATATGGCCAAAGACGTGGAGGGAGCTACGACTGCTGCTGCTGCTGCTGTTGCTGTTGCTGCATTGTCATAAATTGTTTAATTTGTATCATAAACAATCGCGTTAAACTTTTGTCCCAAAGCTAAAAAGATCGATCAGAGCGGTGCGCGCAAATGCTTGCCGCTCTCCTGCTGCCCTCAGAGCGCGAAATCGCGCTAACCTCGCAGACCTCGCGGACCTCGCCGTGGCTTTGGCTAAAAGTGTAGCCTAAATGTCTGGCAGTGTATAATTTAGCGGACACCAAGTGAGATTTATGTGCGCCAATGCTGCCGTTTCCATAGTTGCAACGCATCGCTGCAACGTGCCACGCCAGCATATTGTATATATATATATATATATGCAACATATCCTGCAATTGTTTGCAGCAGCAGCAGCAGCAGGGGGAGTTTGCACTGCGCACTTATTCTTATTATTATCATTAATATTGACTCCGGCTGCAGCTACGAAACAGCGCGCTGTATTAGCTCTGGGGCTTGTTTGTATGCGAAATTATTTTTGATTATGCAGCAGCCGCTGTCGAAGCTGACGCCGACTCCAACTGCAACTGCCACTTCGACTCGAACTCGGACTCGGACTACGACTTGGACTTGGATTGCCATGTTTGGCGCGACTTGGCTTTGGCTCTGTCCAACAGTAGGTCATTCAGTTCAATGCACGCCAAGATGGATTAGTTTGAAGCTCAGGCCCTAATCTGACAGTTGAAGCCAGCCAGCGCACCAAGTCGCATTGCAGATGCCCTAACCTTTGGCCATTGAATTGAGTTGAAGCTAAAATGAGTTAATTGTCTCATATTTTGTACAGTTTGTTGAAGATTTCTGTTATATAAATTATGCTCAAATACACTTGAAGAAATATTCAAGAAATTTTAGATTTTTTGCTTTGCAAAATTCATTATTTAGCTTGTGGCTCAAACTAAATTTTTTTAATGGAAAAGTTTGCTTAAACTTGTTTATGTTTATATTTATCTAATTTGGTTATCAAAAAATCATAAAGTATTAGAATATGTTAGGGAAAAAAATTGAACTAAATTATTATTATTTCGGTTTTTTTTTTTTTTTTTAATTTTTATTTATTAGTCTTGACACACAATACAATAACAAATTATGAATTTAGAAATTTAGAAATTATTATATAAAAATGTTGACCTTTTTTTTTTTAGAATTATCAGATTTTTTATTTATTTATTTTTTATTTTATTTATTTTTTTTTAATTTGAGTTTCACTTCCACAAGATCTTTATAATTTTAAATAATCCATATTTATAGTATGCAAAACTGTTCAAGAAGAAGTTTGTCAGCTTAGCTAATTCTAGCAATGCTCTGGCATCTAAAATCAACAGTTTTGGCTATATAATTCAGGTTTATCTTATTGCTTATAGCTGAGATTATCGATTTTTTTTTTATAAGAGTGAGCCAAATTGAGCGTGGAATCAGACTCTGAATTGAATCAGGCAAACTGTAATGCAAAAATCAATGTAATGTAAATATCTGCCTGAATCAAATCCATGCTCTTTCGCTCAGTGCATCAAGTTCTGTTTGCTTGTACTTTCCCAAGGGTATACGAGGCTCCTGCTGCTGCTGTTTCTGCCGATCGATGGCTGTGCTGCGATAATATCCATTTGATTATCCTAATAACAGTGCTTTAGCGGGCATATTATATGTACGTGTGTCTGATTATAGAAATTAGGCACAGCAGCCAATGCAGAGGCAGACGCATGCCCAGTCTCAGTCCCAGTCTCAGTCTCTGCTCAGTCTCTGACCAGTCTGTTGTCGGCTGGGATAGTTCTCTTCATTTGGGGGTCCATTGCAATACCTCAATTGTAGCGGCTCGTTACAAACCAGGCAGTCAGGCACAGGCCGGAGCACAAACTTCACACTTTGGCAGCAGAGACAATTGCAGCGACGTGCTCGGGCAACGAGAGCTGCAGCTGGCTGAGTGCACTGATAAACCAATATGAAGTCGTCATCGAGCCGGGCTAAGTGTATATAATTTCGGGTTGGCCAAATAAGCGCATTCGATATGCCAAATTATATGTGCGAGGGGCAAAACTTTAATTGCGGCCAATGAAAACTTTCAATTTGCGATGGTGTTAACGATAACAGAGCGCTGTTAAGGCTGCTGTTAAAGCGTGCATGAGTCACTGGTCGCTGTTGTTGTTGCTGCTGCTGATGTTGTTAAAGGCTGTTGGCATCTTTTTGTATAAAACAATTCGCTAATAAATCAAGTTGAGTACAGCAATTAAAGTTGCAAAAACATACACACATACAGCGACAATTCGTTTGTTGTTGTTGTTGCTGTTGTTGCTGTTGCTGTTGCTATTGTCATTGTCGGTATGCAAAGCTCGTGCTGGTGAAAAGCGGCGACGTCGTCGGCGTCGTGCCCTTGGCCGTCCCCCAAAGCCAAAAAGCCTGGCTGACACGTTCTACACAACAACAACAGCAGCAGCAGCAGCAACAGTAACTACAACAACAACAATAAACAAAGCGCTACAATAAAATCTGCCTTTAATTTTTTGTTGTTGTCGAAACAACAAAAAAAACATTTTGAAGTTTTTGGCCTGAGCTTGATTTCTTCAAACTGACAGATCAAAGCCACAAAGCCGACTCATGTGTGTGTGTGTGTGTGTGTCTGTGTGTGTGTGTGTGTTAGAGACACTCCATAAAGCGACGCTTGGACATGTGTGTGGCGTTTTAAAAGCGTTTGACAAGCGACTCAGCTCGAACTCAACTCGAGCTGAAGTCAACTTCAAGCCAAATCTCAACTCAGCGCCTGTACGTCTAAGCCCTGTCTGCCAGCTTGGCTAACAGAAAGAGCGTACCGAAAGCGCCTTTTAATTGCAGTCTCAAATGGTTGTTGTTGTTGTTGTTGTTGCTGCTGTTGGCCAGTCGGCAACGTGAATGACATAATTAATTGTATGCACAGCCAGCGAAGCACTTAGCTCGACGTGTTTGACATTTGAAGATGACAATCCCTGACAGAGCGGACAGAGCGGACAGGAGATGCAGCAGCGGCAGCGGCAGCGGCAGTGGCAGCGGCAGGTGATGGGCGATAGGCGAACCCATTGGCCATTCAATTAACCAAAATGCAACAAAAATGGAGAAACAGCAGCTGGCGATGGCGATGGCTATGGCTGTGGCATTGGCAGCGCCTTATCACATCTCATTTGAATGATCAGCAGCAGCGGCAACAAAAGAACTGAAACCTCAGCCTTAGTGACAACTCGATTCAATGCGCGAACATCTTGATAAGCGCGCTAGGGCTGCTATTAGAGCTGCAGAGCAAAATGTAACAGTTTCCACTCTTCTCATCTCTATTTGATTTTCTCCTCTTCTCTCCTCTTTTTTTTTTTGTCAGCAAAAAAGGATTGCCAGCTCTTTGGTAAATTAAATTCACACCAATGCGGATTAGGGGTGCGAAAGAGAGTTCGCCTTATCGCCGGCAGCAAATCAAATCGCCAAATGAATGTGAGCGAGCAAATGTAACGTATGTCAGTCAGTCCGACAGTCAGGCAGTCAGGCAGTCACTCTGACAGTCAGTTAGATCGGCTCAGTGAGGCGCGCTGCTTCAGCTGCTTCCGCCTGGCATTAAGCCACAATCAATCATACAATGAAAAAGGGCAGCCAGCGGCTGAGACAAGACGATCCACTGTCTTAGTGAATCCTGCAATGACCCCTCGCTGTTGCACGTTGTTGCTGTTGCTGTTGCTGTTGCTGTTGCACGTTGCTGCAGGCGCTCGCTTAATTTATAACCTGAGCGACCCTCGCCAGGACACGAATATACCGACTTTTCACCTGCCTCTCTTGTAGGCGCGTGGCTCCAAAATGCGGTCAAGTGTCTCTGCGAGCTGTGCTGCTTACACCTGCTCCAAATTTAAAATGCGCTAAGGCAGCAGCAGCGGCAATAAACTATAACGGATTCCTGTTTTTCAGCCACCACCGTAGCAGTTAGCAGCTAGCAGGTAGGTCAGTTAGAGGCCGCAAAAGGCACCTTGACTCGAGTTGAGCTGACGTTCAGCTGGGAGCTGCTCTCCAGCTCGGCGAGCTGTTTAGCATTTTGCGCTCTTGTTTGTTTTAATTATTTCTTTTGCTTTTTTTTTTGTTTCTTCTTTTTTTCATATTTTGCTAGCTTGGCGCATATTGCAGCTCAGCTGAGTTGCGTGCCAAGTGTTTTTTTGACTACTTGACTGACTGCTTGACTGCTTGACGGACTGGCTGACTGACTGACTGATTTTTTTGCTGGCGGCTGGTTTATTAAGCGCAAACTGCGCTGCCATTGCCATCTATATTATTTTTTTTTTATTTGCGGCTCTCCGTGTACAACGCCCCCTGCTCGAGCCTTCATTTCCGTCTTCTGCCGCTCCAGTTGCATGCCAGCTTATCATTAGTCATAAGTTGTCAATTGTATTTATGATAATGCGTTTAATAACTTAACCACGAATTCTCAGCCAGTCAGCCAACCAAGCTCCTGGCCACGCAATTATGCCACAGCATTCGCCCAGAGCTATTTCTTGGCTATGTTTTTATTTTGTAAAATTTTTTTTATCTTTCTGGCATTTCATTTGTTATTAATTGCTTAAT